GCTGGACCTGCCTGAATCTGCTCTGGCCTCTGGAATCCAGCCCCAGTAGAGGGCCTGGACCCTTCCACTTGGCCTGCAGCCTTCTCCAGGGCTAAGAATAGGAAGCAACATGCTCCCTCTTGGAGCTTGAAGCCTGCTCACAAGTCCCTTTAGAAATAAAGGACAAAATGGGGACATTGTTCCCTGGACAATGGGGTTTTCTCACATGGCAGCTCCCCAGGCCTATGTGAGGAGGGCTCCCTTTAATGGCAGCTGGGCTGGGGGATACCCTCTGGGCCAGGGACTGGCCAGTTCTTAGGGCTGTGAGCACAGGGCTGACTGCTGGGCGGAGCCTGGGACAGGTCGGAGCTGCAGGTGTGACGACACACTCAGGGCCAGTCTATCTAAGGGAGAGGACTAAGAGAGAGACATGAGGGCTGCAGCAAGGGCGAGGCTCCAGGTGGGATAAGGACAGGGCCTGGCACAGGATTAAGGAGTAAGCCTAGAATTGGGGTTGAGCCAGGGCTGAGATGAGGCTTAGGGTTCGAGCTGTTCCTGGGAGTGCACTGCTCAGAAGCCCAGGCATCCACATGGGCAGCCTGGGCCCTTCCCTGACTGGGTGGTCTTGGACAGGCTCTCTCTCACCCTGGATCTTCACTCCTATCTCTTTTTACCTGAATACCCTACTTAATGCCACAACCTGCCCCCTTGGCACTTCTGTTCCCCTTATGTCTGCTCTAGCTCTTTATCCATTCCCTTATTACCATCTGACTTAGCATATAATTTACGTATTTAGAATGTTTATTGTTTGTGATCTGTCTGTCCTAACAAGCAGGTCAGCTCCATGAGAACAGAAATCTTTGATTTGTTCATTTGTGTCCTCAGTTCTTAAAGCCATGCTTGGCACAGAGCAGACACACAACAAATAGTGCTGAATGAATAAAGTTGTTAAGTCTCTCTGAGCTGAGAGCATCCTCACTTGAAAATGAGGATGACATCAATGTTGCTGCTTCCATGTTGTAAAGAGCTTTGCCCAGGCAGGCAGACAACTGTGTAATGACAGCTGGTGTATGCCTCAGTCTCCTCATCTGTAAAGTGGGAATAGAAGGCCCTAGTCTGTAGGGCTGTTGTGAGGATTAGAAGGGTTAATACATACAAAGCACTTAGACCAAGGCCTCACATGAAGTCAGTGTTCAGTATGCTGGGCAATCTATAATAATAATAGAGGAATATGCAAATTGTCCGAGACTCCATCACAGTAATGACTGAACAGCAGGCTGCGTGGGGCAACAAGGCTGGCAGGGGGGTTAATGAGGGACGACCAAATGACTAAACAGCAGGCTGTGTGGGGTGACCAGGCTGGCAGGTGGGGCAGTTGGGGGCAACCAGACCAGTGGGGGGGACAGTTAGGGGTGACCAGGCAGGCAGGGAGGCAGTTAGAGGCAATCAGGCCAGCAGGCAGAGGTGGTTAGGGGTGATCAGGCTGGCAGGGGGTCAGTTAGGAGTGATCAGGCAGGTAGGCAGGTGAGCAGTTAGGAGCCAGCAGTCCCAGATTAGAGAGGATGCAGGCTGGGCTGAGGGGACCCCACCCCCATACACTAATTTTGTGCACCAGGCCTCTAGTCATAATAATAAAAGGCTAATATGCAAATGGTTGTCACATCGTGACACCGTAACGACCAATCAGCAGGGACCTGAGGCCACGCCCTCCACCTGGTGGGGCTTGATGGGGGTGGGGCTGGCTGGGTCTGGGTCTCGCCCAATGGGGGTGGGGCCAGCCAGGTCTCAGTCTGACGTGATTTCGAGGCACATGCGGGTGGGCGGGGACTTGACTCTGGGTTCTGCAGTGCACCCCAGACTCTGACAGGAGGGAGATTTTCATATACATTTTACTAATTTTCTTTCATCTCTGACACTTCTGTTATAGAGAAAGGACAAATAGCAATATTAAAATATTTCCTCTAATCAATTCCCTTTTAACGTGCACAAATTTTGTGCACTAGGCCACTAGTGTCATTATAATTGTAATGATATTGCCTCAGTTTTCTTAGTCCCTTCCTTTGTATCATTGATTTGAAGGATGAGATGGAGGTGGCTCAGCGAGTCAAAAGCTGAATCTTTTATTATGCCTGGGCTTGAGAGTAAATGATCCTTCTAATCCAAGGGTCAAAACAGACAAAGGGATTCCACACCCCTCTTTTTTTTTTTTTAATACTCACTAGAGGACATGCTTAGAGAGAGGAAGAGAGAGAGAAATAACATTAATGTGAGAAAGAAATACTGTATGTACCCTGACCAGGAATTGAACCCAACACCCAGGCATGTGCCCTGACTGGGGATTGAACCAACAAACCAGGAATGTGCCTTGACCAGAATCAAACTGGTAACCTTTTGGTGCACAGGATGACGCTTAACCAACTAAGCCACTCTGGCTGGGTAACCCCTCCTTTCTAAATATCCACCTAGACTTTAGGGAGTTTCTCCCCCCCGCCCCCACCCCATGAGAGCTGACTCCTGCTGCTCCCTGTACACAGGCCTTCGAGTTTTCTTCTTCTCTCTCCGTCTTTCCTCCTTTATCCCTCACCACTGAGGGCCTGACCCCCTGTGCTCACCATTTCAGCATTTCTCATTGTAGAAGTCTCCCCACGGGCCAGTGGAAATGAGGATTAAAAATCTGGGGCTCCCGGCCTTCTCCCCTCTAACTTAGCTTCTAATTCCTGGTGAACTTCAGGCCTTGATCAAGGCAGGGGACACTTAATAATTGAATGGAATAAATGAATGGGTAGGAAAAGCCCCAGCTCTGACCCTGAGCTTAAGGTAACAAATGTCTCTGGCCTTCAGTGTCCTCATAGCTAATGGGGATTGTATAGATGCCTGTCCTGTCCACCTTACAAAACTGTTGTGAGAACCAAGTGAGATCATCAGCTCTTTGAGCAAAGGGAGCGTGGAGGCCAAGCAGTCCAATTTGCTCATTTTTAAAAATAAGGCACCGGATCCCCAGAGACAAGGTATGTGCGGTATAGACGCAGAGGAACTTAATGTAATGAACGGCTTTCTACCAGCCGCATGGTCCTGGAATCTGGAGTCTGGGCTGGATTTAGAGGTTGTCCAGTTCAACCAGCCAGAGGGACTCTGAGCCTAGACAGGGACAGTGACTTCCTCCGCTCAGCCGAGAAGCTCGAGCACAGCTCCTACTTTCCAGCTCAGCCCTCTTTCCTGCTATGCTGACATCATCATGAGGGCTGGTGCCCTGGGGGCAGAGCCCAGCAGCAGGGTAGGAGGAGTGAGGGAGGAAAGCGGCAGGCCAGGCAGCAGACCCTGCTGCTGATAGCCAATCCCTGGACTCCCAAGGGGGAGGGGTTCCTAGGGGAAAATCACCCTGACCCAGGGAACCCAATACTGGCCATGTGGCACAATCAGAAGTGCCCATCCCTCGTAGTTTTGGGGAGATCAGAAGTCAGAGGCAGGTGCTAGGGGCCCTTGATAGGTGGGATGGGGCCTCCCCCAACTCCCTGTAGGCTCAGCCTCTCAGCCTGGGGATTTGCCCCTGACTCACTGATGGTGACATCATCTCAAGCCTCTTGGTACCCCTAAATCCTTCCCTGAAGTTTGTGAGCGGTTGTAGAGCCCCTCCCAGATTTGGAGCTGTGGTTGCTTTCACCCACAATTTCTTATGCAAAGGTGTTGTATTTCCTAAATGTTATTCATTTACCACCTCCATGGTTTTTGCCATAATAACCCAATCCATTAAATATATAAATATTTACTCAATGTTTTGAGTCACTTTTTTAAAATATAAACTTATGCCCCAAAGGAAACTTTATACCACTCCTGTAAAAAAAAAAAAAATCAATTGTGAAAATTACGAGAAGAAAGAAGAAGAAATACAAAGACTTTCTTAGTTTCTGGTGCCAGGCCCGGGTTCTAGTTCCAGTCATACTGACAAGACACTTGTGTGGTCTCTCGGGGCCTCTGTTTTCCCCTCTGTAAAATGGGGTTGTTGGGAGATAAGGGTACAAGATGCCTGGCCCCGAGCTGCCATGGAGTAGGTAAGAGAGAGAATTCTGGGCTGGTGTTGGTTCTGCTGGTGCCTTGGCCTCGGCCTCCTGTTCTTCCTCCCTCCCCTTTTATCTAGAAATTTAGAGTTTCCTGTGCACTTTTCAACCACGGTCTCATATGACTCTCGCACCACGTGGTGAGGGAAGCCAGCGGAGATGTTGTCCACTTGTTAAGGGGCAGGCGAGTCCACAGAGATCAAGTGACTGGCCCAAGGACACCAGGGTGGAGTCTTGAACCTGGGCTGACTCCACTGCCAGGGAAGTGTGCGCTCAGGAGGCATGTCCTGCGGATCTGGCGGGATGCAGTCAGCAGGAATCCTGACTGGCCCTTCCCCCTCTAAGGAGAAAGGAGGGAATAGACCCTGTACAGGGGAGCACCCCTGGCGGCACCGACCCTCCTAGATCTCCTTGGCTTCTCCAGCCCTGGCCAAGGAGACCGTGCAAGGGCAGGGAAGGGAAGAGGCCGGCGGTCGGGTGTGGAGTGGGAAGAAGAGGCCAAGGAAGAGAGTCAGAGACACAGGTGGACAGAGATGGAGAGAGACAGAGAGAGCAAAGAGACCGACAGAGACAGGTGCACAGAGAGGGTCAGGCAGGACAGAGGGCGCCAGAAGGACACCCACAACGACACAGAACGAAGTCGGAGCTAAAGATACATTAGATAAGAAGGACACAGGCGGAGAGGCGGGGAGAGGGGGAGCTGCGCCCGGCAGCCCGGAGGTGGATGGGGGCCGAGAGCTTCAGGGGCGGCGGAATCCACGGAACCGACGGCAGCGACACCCGCTCCTCTCCAACCCCGCGCAGGGCGGGAGCGGAGGAGGGGGTGCGCCCCGATCCCCGGCAGGGGGCGCCCTGGACTCGCGGCCAGACCGGCGGGCCGGGCTTGGGCCGGGGGCGGGGCGGGGGCGGGATGGGGGCGGGGAGGGCCGGGGCCTGGGCCGGGGGCGGGGTGGGTGAGGGCTGCCCCGGCAGCGCGCGGGCCCCGCGGCCGCCTTTATAAGCTCGCGGGGGTGGTGGCCGGGCAGCATCGTGCGCCCGCTTCACGCCCTCGGACCCAGCGCGCTCACCGCGCGTCACTCGTGCCAGGACAGACCCCAACCCAGGGACTCTGCGCAGGTAAGGACTCGATGCTGCCCGGCTCCCCGGGGCCCCGAGAACTTGGTTGCTCCCCAGCCCCTCCCACATCCTCCGCTCGCCCCGGGATGGCGGCGAGGTGGGGTATAAACGGCAGGGCCGGGACCTCCGCGCCCCCAACCGCCAGCGCAGCGCCTCGGGACCCCCAGCCACTTGTCCCGCTGGGTCCTCGCGCGCATCCCAGGCCCCCGGCGGGCGCGCTGGGCGGCTGGAGGTTGGACGTGGTTCCCGCGAAGGGAGGACTGGAGGTCCCCGTCCCAGGCTCTTCTGCCTCCGGGGTCGCTCCCGGGACCTCCATCCTGGCCCAGGCACCACCACCACCTCCCCGCCCCTCCCCCGCCCCCACCCCGTGCCCGGGGGCTGAGCAGCCCCAATGGTGAACCCTTGGTCGGAGATCTAGAGACTCCGGCTCCAACCCCGGCGCCCGGCCCGGTGCCTTCTCACGCCTCCCACCTAATAGCCCCTAGGTCCCGCCACAGCAGCCAGGGAGGGGGCTGGGCTGCCCTCGTGGGGTCTCAAGTAGTTGGGCCAGAGCTGGGGAGCAGTAGAGGGAGGGGGACGCTAGTGTCCGGGAGCCGCTGGGGGAGTCGGGGTGGGCTCAGCAGCCATGGGTCAAAACTCTGGAGCCCCGGAAGCCGAGGGAGCCTGCGACCCTCCTCTGGGCGTGTGCGCAGGTGAGTGGGTGGCTCAGGGCTGGTTCCAGGGCCCAGTCTGGTAAGAAGGGTTAAATGCATAGTCAACAATGGTGGTGTGGGAGCTGAGGAAGCCCTGTCTTCCCCCACATCGTCTCTTTCTGACCCTTTCCAACAATTAATGGGGGGGGGGGACCCCCGGAGGCCCAAAGACGAGTGATTCTCCGAGGGGACCGGGCAGTTGGGTCCTGGGAACAGCTCAGACTCCGCAGGGGGGCGGGGTTTCCCAGGCGGGCAGGTGTTGGCTCCCACCCCAGAGAAGATGAAGCAACGGTTTGAGTGCCTACTGTGCCCCAGACCTCCACCACCTGGCGTGCATCAGTGTTTACAGGTGGGGAGAGTGAGGCTCAGAGAAGTTAAGCAGGTACACTCGTGAAGAAGTTAAGCAAATAGGCATCAGGATTTGAACCCAGACTAACCCTACAACCTTAGCTTCCTACTTCCCACTCTAACACCCGGGAGATGAGGGGCGGAAAGGTGATTCCTCCTTCTGGCCCTTCCAGGGCTCAGTCCTGCCTCCCACCACCCTCCAGACCCGCCCTCTTCAAATCTAGTCCTCCCCATCCCACCCCCTCAACTCCATGCCCCTGCCCTTGTCCCTCTGCCTCCCTTTTTCTTCCTGAACTCCATGCCTCTGAATTCCGTAAGATGAGGCCCCTGGACACAGCTTCCCAACTTCCCAGCCCCTGGACTGAGACAGGCTTGGGTCCATGGCCCCACCTGTCAAATGGGTGGCTGCCTCTCCCATAAGACTATTGTGAGGAATCAAACCGAGCTGAGGCCAGGAACAAAATTTAACAGCCCTGTTCTGCTGGGTAAATCAAGCAGTAAATCAAGCAGACAAAAGCCCAGACGTTCAGACATTTGCATAACAAACTTTTTTTTTCAGCCTTTGAAATAGATGTTATAGAATTGGAATCAAGCGATTCACAAGGAAAGGGATTTTGGTCCCCACGAATAGACAAGGCAACCTAGCTGTGTGACCTGGAAGGAGTTCTGTTCCCTGTCATGCCTTGGTCTCCTCCTTCAGGCTGAGGAGATGGACGAATAGTACCTACTGGTGGTGAGGTCTAGCTTAATGTATGCCAAGTGGTTAGCCAGTGTCTGTGCTTAAGAAAATATTGGCTATCATCAGTTCTAATCTTGGCAGAAAACGCCATGCCGAGCCTGGGTATATGGTTATGTCACTGACCCTGAGCCCTGGAAACCCATCAGACACCTCCGTAGAGGTTCTTGCCCATTCCCTGGTGGGCTGCACTGTAGGGTGGCCGGGCGCCTTCCTTGCCCACACTCCGATGCCTACCATCCTAAACACAGCCTTGGCCAGGAGCCTGGGCTCTGTGCCTGAGGCTATTATCGGGGGTGGGGGGGAGGGGGGGAGGAGGGGGGCTGTGCCCTCCACCTGTTCCTGTGCCTCCAAGTGTCCCAGCTTGGAAATGGGGTGAACTCAAACTCAAGCCCTACATGTTCTCTGGCTTACATACCCGGCATTCCCTGTAAGCTAGAGTAGTCCTGACTCTACCGCTGAAAAAGCAGGTCTTGGAGAGGAGAAACGACTTGTCCAGGACACACGTGCTACCTGGGGGAGCTGGGGTTGGATGGAGCCCAGGTGTCTAGAATACCAAGTCTAGCGATCTCCGTGTTGCACCCATCTCTGGGGGTGAGGCCTCTTAATCCAGGGGTAGGATCCAGCAGCATAGCCTCGAGTTCTCACCTTGAAATAGAGACTGGAGCTATTAATACAAACTTCAGCGCTCCATGAGAACATTGCAGGGAGAGTGAGCAAGCTGGGCTGGGAACCAGCGCTCAGAAATCTCGCCGTGGCCACAGGAATGCTGACTCAGCGCCCCAGCACAGGCTGGAGCTGGGTATGTTTGTGTGTGTGTTTTTTTTCTTTTTCCTTCTAGAGATGTCCCCGCTTTGAGAGGGCAGCTAGGGGCAGTAGATTGGAGGTTCATTCCCAGCACTGCTCCGTGCCCCTGCACCAGTCACTTTCCCTTTCTGAACCTCAGATGGAGGAAACCATATGTAATGTGGGTTAATAACATGTACTTTGAAGCATTGCTATGAGGGGTCAGCAAGATCATGAATGGTTTTCAGCACCGGACTGAGCCTGTGTTAGTGACTGTTACTGAGAAGTTACTCCTTGTGGGGCAGTGTCAGCAACGTTTTCCTTCACACACAGGTGATCCTGGAGGCCGGAGGGAAGGCCCTGCTAAGGTTACAGAGGCTGGGAGATAGCAAGGGAAATGCTGGCTTGGGGGCAGCACCTTGGGTTCCACTCCTAGCTGTGTGACCTGAGGCCAGTCACTTTGCCTCTCTGTTAGGCTCCTATGAGGCTCTCAGCAATGTCTAAAGGATGCCCAGTGTCCAAAGAACATTCGAGAATAGTTTCCATATTTTTATACCATCCCATACCACCCCCCAGCATTTCATAATTGCTCCCAGAAAAACTTCATACTTAAAGTTTTCCATGCTGAAATTCTCAACCTCACTGTGGCCTGAAATCAATTGTTTGCATTTAATTTGACTTCTCAAATTAAGGGGTAAAATTTGAGATGAGGGTAGGGGGTGGGGGAGGAGATGAGGAAATTGAAGTTAAACCAGATGTGTTTTTGTTTAACTGTAGGCTGGTGGTTAAACTGCCCAAGTATTACCATCGTTCCTTCTGAATTCCAGTAACCGGGAGTCGGGTTTCACTAAAAATTGTAGTGTTCCTTCCTGCTCGTGTGGACTTGCCTTCCCCATTATTATTATTATTACTATTTTATGTTCATCTGAGGCCATGGCTGGCCAGAAAGGAGACCTCACAAATGCCTAGAATTTCAGAACTGGGAGGCATTTAGAGGCTGGCTCTGCCAACTGGCTGCTTTGCAGACCCGGGAGACTGAGGCCCCCGGAGGGGAGGAGGCTTGCCCAGGGTCACCAGCTGCCTAGGGCAGAGTTGGACTATGAATTCAGTCTCCCAGCTCTAGGCGCACGACCTTCCCCAAAGTAACCACTGTCTTGAATTGGGTGTGTATCCTGCCCGTAGTACCTCCTTCATGTACCTGGTTTTATGTTTATTTTTGAAAAGAAAGAATTGTTCAAGGGAGGATACAGAGTGTATACGTTGGTAGAGAAAGATCTTCAGCTCAGAAGAGTAGAGTTTAAGTCCTTGACCTGTTGATGCGCTACCTGTGTGACCTCGGGCTAGTCATTTCCTCTCTCTGACCCTCAGCTTCCGCATTTGTAAACCTGGATGCCTGAGGAGCAGGAGTCGGGGGATGAGACGTACCTAAGGCTTGAAATGGGTCTAATTTAATCAACTGGTCCTCAAACATTTACGGCCTAGGTTATGGCAGGTCAGTCACAAACTGCCTCCCTCCAGTGGCAAGAGACAGGTGTGGTGGATGGTTGACCCACAGTGGGCCACATCGCTGCCCATCACCAGGGCTGGAACTCATTAGCAACTGCTCTGTCCACTTTACCGCAGTCCCCACCACTCCCTCCAGCCCACTTGTCTCTTTGACTTTAGCTACCTGCCTTCTGAGCTTGCAGTTTCTGAGCTAAGTGTGCGAGGCCATGGAAGGAGGACTCAAATCTCATCTGAATGACTGCATGAAGCTTGGGCCAGCACTCAGGGACTCAGGATGGGAATGCGGGATGCGTGGACATCAGTCCTTCTTCTGTGGCCTGGCAGTCTCTGACATGTTGGCAAAGTGGAGGGGGCTTTCTTCCTATTTGGGGGGTCCCCAGGAATAGTACATAGGATCCAGAGATTTGGCAGGTGACAGAGCACCAGCCTGTTGGGGCTCAGAGAGCAGAGTCTGGGGCCTACCCCTAGGGGTCAGGCAGTGCTGGCTGCTTCAGGCATGAGGGAAGGGACTCCCTTGACATCTGCCATCTTACCTAACACTCCCAAAGAACCTAGTCATTGGTCACCACTTCACAGACAAGAAACACCACCTTGTACTCTGAGTCACAGCACCCTGTTCCACTCCCTCCACTGGGAGCAGAGACCAGGTGCTGACGGCAGGCCCCATGGTTGCAGCACAGATCTCCGACCAAGCTCCAGGGCAACTGCTTAGATGGGAGAGTCTAGAGGGGCTCCACAAACTGCTCTGGGGGTACAAGATAAGCAAGGGGAGCTCGGATTCCTGATAGTAACCACGGTCCTAGAGCCTGCAGAGTCAGAGACGTGCCTGCCCGTGTGGGAAGCAGCATTTTGTAAGGACCGCTGGGCACCAGGCACCAACATTTTCTTTGATCCTCACCTACCTCACTGCCTGGTGTTTTAGTTGAGGAGAC